TATCTATCTATCTATCTATCATCTATCATCTATCTATCATCTATCTATCATCATCTATCTATTTATCCTTCTATCTATTGTTTAAATAACAGACACGAAAAGCCACCACACAAGTGAAAATGAGAATATTGATCGTAACTTATCTGTGCCTAGTTTTCCCTGATCCCCTCCCTGCCCCTGCTGATGTAGCCACCATCCCGAATCTTATAATTATCATTCTTTGCTTCCTTTTTATATATTTTTATCACATTTAATATATGTATTCCTAAAAAGTATTATTTTATTCTATTTTTAAGTCAGATTTCTTGAGGTATATTTTACAAACAGAAAAAAATCACCCATTGAAAGTATATAATTTTATGAGCTTTGACTAACACCCAGCACTGTGTGAAAATCACTACAAGGTAAAGAACAGTCCCATCACTCCAATGTATTTCCTCACGACCCTCTGGAGCAACCCCTCCCCCATGCCAGGCCTTGGCAGCTACTCATCTATTTTTAGTCCTTATAAGTTTGCCTTTTCCAGGATGTCATATAATTGGACTCATACACGACATCGCATTCATTTAAAGCCTGGCTTTTTTTTCCCACATAGAATGATACACTTAACATTTATTCTGTTGTTTCATATTATTAGTAGTCCATTCCTTCTTCATTGCTAAGTAGCATTCCATTGTATAGATGTACCACATTTTTTATCCATTCACCTGTTGAAAGACATGGGCTGTTTCTAGTTCAGGGCAATTATGAATAAAGCTACTATAAACACTGACTTACAGGTGTTTCTGTGAACATAAATTTTATTTCTCTTGATAAAAGAGAAATAATAGGGTTTCTGGAGCAAATAGTGTATGTTTCAGTTTTTAAGAAACTGGCAAACTGTTTTCCAAAGTGGTTGTACAATTTTGCATTCCTGCCAGCTACGACTGAGGGTCTAGTTTCTCCACGACCTTGATTGTACTTGGTATTGTCAATTATTACTATTGTTATTATTTACTTTAGCCATTCTAATGTGTGTAAAGTGGTATCCCCTTTTGTTCTCAATTTGCGTTTTCTTAATGGCTAATGAAGGTGAATGTCTTTTCATGTGCTTGTCTGCCATCTATATTTTTTTATTGAAGTATCTGTTCAAATATTTTGTCCATTTTTAATGTTTGTCTATTTTCTTATTATTGACATTTAGCATTTTTATATATTATGTGGACATAAGTAATTCATCAGGTAAGTATTTTGCAAATATTTTCTCCAAGTCTGTGAATTTTCTTTGCATTTTCTTAACAGGGTCCTTTGAAAAGTGGAAATTCTTAATTTTGATGAAATCTAATTTATCAAGGCCTTTTTGAAACGCCCTCATTTTTGTCATATCTAAAAATTCTTGCGTACCCCAAAGTCACAAAGATTTTTTTCTTCTGTTTTACTCTAGAAGTTTTATGTTTTACATTTCGAAACAATATATATATTGAATTAATTTTTATATGCAGTATCAGGTATATCAGGTACAAATCATTTTTATGCATAAGGAAGCCCAATTGTTTCAGTACCATTTCTTGAAATGACTGTCCTTCCTTCATTCAATTGCCTTTGAACGTTTAAAATAAATTAGTCATATATTCTGGGTCTATTTTGGACTCTATGTTCTTTTCCATACACTTATCCTTGCCTTGCTCCTGATCTTAGGAGGAAGCCAGTCATTCTCTCTATTAAGTGTGATATTAGCTGTAGAGTATTTAGTAAATGCCCTTTATCAGGTTGAGGATGCTCCCTTTTACTCCCTGTTTTCTGAGAGTTTTTATGGTGACTTGATATTGGATATTTTTCCCTTTCCAGCCCAGTATCTAGTTGTGGGGTTCTCATGACCTGAGGAAAAGAGTGCCACAGCTGATAGCAGGCTGCAACTGAAAGTGTGGTCTGGGGGTGGGGGACATGGGGTGGTGAAGAGTCTCTTCTGGAGACAGGAGAATGTCAGTGAGGGTGTAGTTTCTTCCCCCGCTGTGTGCACCACCTCCTTCCTGAGCTAACACTCTGAAGGCCCAATATAAGTCGTTCCTCACTAGAGCCTTGAAAAATAACTCATGGGATTCCCATGCTTCAGTGTGGTTGAGTTTTAGAGTGAAGAGAGAAAAACAAAACTGTCTAAAGGCAGGAAGCCAGTCCTACAGGTTTTAATGGTCATTAAAGAGTAAAACACATATCCTGTAAAAAAGACTACATTCAAAATCATTTAATTAACTGTGTGCACTGTTTATCACCTGCTTTTTAGCTGTTAACAAAAGCCCAAGAGCATATAATATTTTTACAAACTTACTTAAAACTTACTTAAATTATATACAAGTTATTAAAGTTTGTAGCCCTAATTACATACTTTTTGACTATAGCTAGATATTATAATAGACTCAAATGTGCAAATAGTTTTGAGTTTAGATGAATTCACTAAAAAAACCCATACACATTTTTAACTCTGGTCAGTGTCCTTATTTGTGTATCTATACCTGCTGGGTCTGTTCCCTTCAAGCCTGAAACTCAATGCTGCTCCCCGGGTAGCATGAGGCCAGCTGAGGCTCCCTCCCCACCCTTTGCCCACCTCCACTGCCAGGAGCTCAGGAGGCAGCAGTGGTTCTATCTGAAAGTCATGGCCACTCCAGCAGCCTGAAGGCCTTGTACACATTAAATTACACATATCACTTGGAATAGTTTTTTCATTTATTCATTTGTCTCTGTGGGTCTGTCTTGGTAGAATGCAGGAACAGGATTCTTTCATAGCCACCCCTGCTAACAGGAAAGTACCTGAGACAGACCGCCCAAGGCACCTGAGAAGGGAAGGAAGGGCGAGCGCCAGGCTCCCAGGAAGCCCTGGGGGCGTTACGCAGACAGTTGTCATGCTTCCTGGTTGAACCTCATTAGCTGGACATTATGCAAGTGCTCAGGAAAAAGGCTGGAACCCTAGTCCTGGGGGTGGACCAGGCTGTCACCTCCCCCTGCTTGTGAAAGCAGCAGCATGCTCGGGCCCTGTGTCACAAACCCGGCCCAGGATAAAAGGGCTCCTGCCCTGGGCTCCCCATCCACAGCCTCCTCAGGAACAGCCTTCTCCTGCCTCCTCCGCATCTGGTGAGTGTCTGGGAGGGGACAGGCCTCCGGAGGGAGAGCAGGGAAGGCGGGCTCAGGTCTGAATGGAAGCAGCAGGAAGAGGCCCACAGTGGGCAGCAGGGGGGGAGGGTGGCGGCGAGGGAGGGGCTGCTCAGGCACCTGTCGGGGCTGTGACCCCCAAAGCCACAGGCCCCGAGGATTCCTTTTCATTCCTGTAGAGTCTGCTGTCAGACATGCACAGGGGTCCGTCTGGCACCCTTGAAGATGCTTCATCCCACTGCACGTGTCCCCTCTGCGTTCCCATGCCTTTCCCACGGAGCTGGGCTTAGACGGCAGCTTGGTCACGGAGGACGAGTGTTTGACAAAGCCTGTGGGGAGGAGGCATTGGAACTTCTGAAGCTTGTGTGTTCAAATTGTGTCTTTTATTTGTTCAAGGTCAAATTCCTACCGAGATGTCCTGCCAGCAGAACCAGCAGCAGTGCCAGCCCCCTCCCAAGTGCACCCCCAAGTGCCCCTCCCCCAAGTGCCCCCCGAAGAGCCCAGCACAGTGTTTGCCCCCAGCCTCTGGCTGTGCTGTTAGCTCTGGGGGCGGCTGTGGCCCCAGCTCCGAGGGAGGCTGCTGCCTGAGCCACCACAGGCACCACCGCAGGTCCCACGGGTGCAGGCGCCAGAGGTCCAGCTCCTGTGACAGGGGCAGTGGTCAGAGCTCCGCGGGCTCTGGCTGTGGTCATGGCTCTGGGGGCTGCTGCTGACCTGGCCTCTGATGCTGAGACCAGCGACTTTAGAGGAAACAAGAAGCCAAAGTTAAAGCCGCAGCAGGACCCAGCCTTTCCCAGACACCGCAGGCTGATTTGCTGAAATGTTTTTTGGGGAGGGGTGGTGGAGCGCTCTCCAGAAGTCATGCACATGTATTTTCTAAGTCCGTGGGCACCCCGTCCTCCCTACCCCTCAGTGTTATCACCTGTGTCTGACCAGGTAGAAAAAATAAAAGCCTGTTCTCTCCACCTTCCTCTCACTCATTGTTTGACTGCTCCACCCAAGGATGCTCAGGGGGCCTTCCTCCTGCAGCTCCTGAAGGTCCAGCATGAATGGGTTGGATTTTTCTCACAGGGAGAGGCCCTGTGGCTTTGAGGGTGGGCGAGGCATGGTGTGGATAGTGGTTGCTGAGAACACTCAGCAAAGGGCTGACTATTCTTGTGTCACATGGTTGGGAGGGAAGATCTAACATCAGATCCCCTGTCTATATTGAGGGTGATATCGAGGCCCAGAAATTGAGAAAAATAAGACCAAAGAGGATGGTGGACTTGAAAGCAGAAAGAAAGGTCTAAAGAAACAGGAACTGAGGGTTTTCCCTGAGAGAATGGAC